GAGAGCGTGGTGTTTCTAAAAAAAATAATCACAAAGTTTCGATTTAAAAAAAACAAACGTATATTACCTTGACATCAGTAAGATTTAATTTGGAGGCACTTTGAGTATGTCATATAAAGTCACTTAATGTCAAGTTGAAATAAACAACACAACTTTCTTTAATTTACTTTATATGTGATGCGACAGTAACAGTCCGCCATCTCCTAATAGTAAAGTAATTAAAGTACTTATTTGGTCCTAAAGTAATCCTAAGTACCTACGTAATTATTTGGTTTACTTATCCTAAGTACTTATTTGGTCATAGAGCTAAAGTGATTAGTTTGAAATCACCACTGTTGAGTTTCTTCTTTCAAAATATGTAACACTGATTGGGGATGTAGCGGCGTCGCTATATTTCTGCTAAATTATAAAAGCTGACTTGTTTCTGCGACTATCTTTACTGTTGCTGCTTCTCCTAGTCGAGAGCGGACCTTTTGAATTAATAACATTAATGGTATTTCAGTCACAAGAGGACTCAAAACAAGGTCAAGGCCAGATGCATCGATTTGACAATGAACTAACAAAGATTTATTAAAATATGAGCGGCTTATGGCCTAATCCAGAGACGTTTTTTTTTCCTTTTGTGTTTCAAGCCTTGAATATTCAAGGGGTGCAAGACTACTCGACTTGTCCTAATGACTAACGAAACTGCGTTGAAGCCTGATCTCTTTACCCTTACAAAAAGCAACCTTGTGGTACAGTACTGGAGCGAAGGCGTTCTCAGTATTAAATTTTACAAACCTCTGCGACAGCCTCCGGTTAGAAACGTCCGACTACACCACAAGTTTAGTTGCGTCTGTGGTGCACCGTATCTCCATCTGGCCCGCTCCACCAAGTTTCCAGTATCTAATCACAGAGGTAAGTCACCGCAATATACTGTTGACTGATCCTTCCTGCCGGAAACCCGACTGAAATGGCCTAAACACGTCATTCATCTTGAAATCTTCAAATTGAACGGTAAGAGTAGCTACCGCCTTGCTAAATATGGACCAAATCGATCTGAACTGATTTTTTCTCGAGCTTGTTTTTAAGCATAGCTCAGTTTTTGATACGGAGCCCGGAAAAAATGAGTCTTTGTATACTTTGTGTATTTTAATTGTTTAAAACTTCTCGGGAAAATTTTCTCCGATGAATGTGAGTTCACGTGAATTTGCTCACGTGAGTCTCGAGGTCTTAGCAGATACTCAAAAGAAAATTTTAAAAGCATGGGGTAGGAATGATAAATTCTTAAAAATACAACCAAAGATTGTTTGCACGTTTGGTTTACATAAACCAGAAACTTGATTTTTTCAAATATAATTATTACAAAAATATTAACAGATGAAAAAGAGTCACGTGATCTGTTTTGCTTAATTATTCATCAAGTGGAAATCGGAGTCAACCATTCCGGCCAGATTCATACGATGAACAATCATTTTAAGATGTTTGCTGTATGGGCTGGGGTCTTTTCATTCCTTTTTTAATTTTTTCTTCTTTCCCGGACTTGACCATACCTGGTCACCTGAAACAAAACGACTTTTTACGAAACAAGCAAATTAAGGTTGTCAATTTTTAATCCTTGGACGGTTCGGGAGCCCCGAACCCGGAGCGAGTAACTCTAGGCTAGGCCTATTTCACGGCGTTTTTACGGACCATTTTATTTTTAGACACATGTTTAGGGCACTTTTTCCCGCGAAAATATAGAATGTCCGCAATGTCTATGAGCACATTCGAAGTATAAGATATCAAAAAGGAAAATTAAACGTTATTAAAAGGCAAAAAATATCATTTTTAGGTCTGTAGGTTTTTCTAACTGGTTTGTGGAATTTAAAGGATATTCAAAATTCGCGCCAAAACCGTTTGAAAAATAAAATGTGTCAAAGCCTTCGGATGGTCTTCGTTCAGGAGGCATAATATTGTTATGAGGGTCTTAATGGGGTTAACCGATAGGCGTAAAACGGTCAAAAATTTAGTCGATAGCCGTAAAAATTGAAAAATTTTAACCGTTAGCCGTAAATAGGGTTAAAAAGAGTTAACCGTAAAGGAAATTGTGTCCTAGATTTGCTAATTTTAAGGACGGTGCTAAACTCACTTATGGTTGCGTTATTTATTTCCCGGCTATTTTGACTCCGTGCACACGTTAGGCCAAGCGCCTTTTAGTTGTGACCAAGACCTAGACTCTATCTCCGCCGCTCTCTCGGAGAATCATAGCATAAATCTGGCTTCTTGCTGGGCATAAAAATTTGCGACTTTCAGGACTGCACAAGAGGTCGTGTCCTCGAAATACTAGTGAAACAACACCAAGAGATGTTACTGTTTGTAAAACTCGTTACCTGTTTTTCTCTGACGCTAAGGTAGACATTGCCATGCCCAGTCCCTGTTCGGCGTCCGCACACGCAATCTCGGTGAAGGCATTTCGGTGGCGTATCTGAGAAAAAAACTCGCTCGGTCCACGTGACCCGAAACGCATGAGCCGCGCTGAATAATGAGGCCTATGGACAAGGCAACGGCAGACAGTCTTTCTGTACAGTCCTTCGCTATCATTAAAAACAATGGACACGGGAATTTTGTTACTGGCCGTTTTCAAACTAGAGCTGGAAATGGACTATTCGTCTGAGACTAGCCTGTACACAGTCACCCCCTTCCCCACAAACACCCCTTCTCCGATTTTTTCTGATGGGAGAGGGCGGCTGTACACAGGCTATCTGAAACGGATAATCCATCTTCAAACTGTCCGTCAAAATTGACGAGTAAAGTCAGGCGGATTGTTCATTCAAAATTAAAACCCTTTCCATTTCAAATTAAGACGTATTACCTATCTGACGCGAATTATCAAACGAATAACCCGTCTCACACGAATAATCCGTCTCTTGTGTGAAAACGGTCATTTCTGTTATAAATAATGCCCCCCCCCCCCCCCCCCCCCCCCTCCCTTNGGTTAACCGTAACTGAAAAAAATTAACCGATAGCCGTAAAAGAGCCAAAATTTTAGCCGATAACCGTAAAAGCCGCCACCCCATTGAGACCCTCTGTTATGGCCTATACTCAGCAATGTAGGAAAAACAGAAAATATTCAAATCACGATTGATAGTGACTAGTTTATTAAAACTCTCTTGCAGTAAAAAGAACTGAATTATCGAGTACATTTTACAATCTTAAGGGAACTATTATTTAGAGTAAGTAATTTACAGTTATAACAATAAAAATAACAAGTGAATCACTTAAAAAATTTAAATGTAAAGAAGTCCTCCACTCTCTTTGTCCTACAGACCTGCATGTTCCGGAAAAGATAATACTTTTGTGTTTTCTGCTTTAAGGTGTAGTTAGGCGTGTCCAGAAGTGGGCTGGGAAGTAGGTGGTGCAGAGGGTGGCTGGGGGACTTCATTTTCGCCATATATTTGTAGAACAAGAGTACTCTTCTATCATCTAACCTATCTAGTTTACCTAACTGTAAGGCATGAGCATATGACTCTGCCTCGGGGTAGATTATGTTAAGCGCCCTTTTTTGCACTCGCTCTATGGCTTTGGACAGGTAAGCAGGGATGTTCTGCCAGACTGGTACAGCATACTCTAAAACTGGCCGGACTGTGCTAAGGTATATCCTTAAGATATTGGGTTGGCTCACCCTGGCTCTGCGGAGAATTCTAAGGGATTATAACTTCTTACAAGCTTTCTTAATAATGTAATCAACATGACAGTTCCACTTCAGGTCATTGTCCATAATAACTCCTAAGATCTTATAGGTATTGACACGCTTGATAACATTGCCGCCAATTATTATCGGGTTAATGAGACAATTAGAGTTGCGTAGGAAATTAATATGCATTTCTTTACACTTGGTTGGATTAAGTCTCATATTATGAGCAATGGCAAAATTGTGAATGTCTGAGGCCACTACATTAAGTAAGCTAGGGGAAGTTCCTTGGAATTATTTCGAGAGCACTGGTATCATCGACGTATTTGATGCGCGGCCGCCAGTCAGACAGCAGTTTGTTTGTCATCACCGTAAAGAGGATCACACCCAGTTTAGTTCCTTGGGGCACTCCTCCTTTTAGTGTTAACAAATCTGACAGAGTTCTTCCGATTCTAACTGCTTGCTTCCGGGATGTCAGGAATGCCGCAATCCAAGATAAAAGGACTTGATGACCTTCAAGGTCTGCCAGTTCTTGCATCCATGTTGTATGATCAATTAAATCAAACCCCTTAGAAAAATCTGCGAAGAAAATCCGAGCCGACGCCTCACCACTATCAACTGCCTCGTAGATCGCTTGAAGCATGTATATAAGGGCATCTGTCGCAGAATGCTCCTTGCGGGAGAACTGACAAGGGTCGATCTTACCTTCCAACTGGGGCAGGAGTCTGGAACAGGTAAAGCCCTCCATAACTTTTGCCAAAGTAAGTTACCGTATTTCCTCGAAGCCGCGGGAAGGAGGGCGATTACTATTTTTTTTCGCACAAGAAGGGGGCAATTGTTCGAGGGAAGGCGATTATTTCAAACATTGCTCACTGGAAGTCGTGCCCTAAATATCTTGTTTTATTTTTCCATGGAATCAAAAAATGATCACATCAAATAAACTGAACATGGGCTTTTTTAGTGCTCCAAATTTGGTTCCTTGACTACTTTTCAATGTCAGATCCTCGGCGTCAGAGCTTGAATAATTACTGATGAGTTTTGCAGCTTCCGGACTCCACCTTAACTTGACAGGGAGGGGATAAAAGAAGGAGAAGATGGCGAGAAGAGTCTGGGGGGCGATTATTCGAGGGAGGTGATTATGTTAAATATTTTCGTCTAAGGGGGGCGATTATTCGAGTGGGCGATTAATCGAGGGGCGCCGGGCTGTTATTCGAGGAAATACGGTATCCATTCACAATTTCTTGTCCACCAGACTTATCCAGTATCCTTTCTTCTTTTCATCAGGCACTGTCACTGTGTACTCATCATAAAAACTGCACCTGGCTAACGCACCGTCATTAACTCGCTAATGAATCGCTCAAGGGTAGCTGAGGATAGTTATCTCAATTTAGCAGTTCCCTCTCAAGAAATTGCAGTCTCTGTTGTTATATTGTTAGCAATCGCTATTACTGTGGGAACTGTTGGCAACTTTGGAGTTTGCGTAATCCTTGCAAGAAGAAGAGACCTCCGATACGTTCCACATCAGTTACTCGCAAGCCTCTCCTTAAATGGTCTTCTTTCTTCTCTAATATCAGTGCCCGCGATCTTAGGAATGGCGGCGGTGAACTATTTTCCAGGGATTGGTAACGTTTCGTTGGACATATTATGCAAAATCGGATACTCTTCCTCCATGGGTTTTACCGTAATCAACGCTTCAACTTTGTCCATGATGGCCATTGATCGGCAGGATTGTGTTATATTTCCCTTGAAGCGACGTTTGTCACCAACGAATGTTAAAAGAGTGATTTTCGTCACTTGGGTAGCAGGATTTCTGTTTGCTCTTCTCCACGGTTTAATACTACGCAAGGAGTCTTCTGTCTGCTCAAGAATGGACCCTTACAATTCCATTGTCACCATTCCTGACAACCATATCATTGTACTTTACTCTGTAGTTTTACGTACAATACCCAACGTCATCACCGCAATAGTAATCGTCATCACAATTTTTCGGATTTTAAAAAAGCTTCGCTCTCATATTTTCACGCGTTTAATCTCTGTAAATCGACGACGCGAATATAAGATAACCAAAATGACACTCCAAATTTGTGCTATTTTTCTCATTTCTTGGTTTCCAAACATAATAACAACTTCTATGGTCCGAGTGGGTGCATTTCGTGCCGTGGCCGTGACCCAGCCCATTAACCTTTTTGCTGTGGTTATATCGAAGTTTAACTACGTTGCAAATCCTTTACTTCATTTTAAAATGTTGCAAATTACACCGCCCAATCGTCACTTATTAACTCCCAACTTTCGGGTTGCCAAAATAGCCGCTGCAGATGACGACAGTATTAAAACAACTGCAATGTAAAACTTTAAATTGTTAACACGAGTTCTCTTGTTGTGTTGGGATGTGATTAGAACAGGGGACTGGACGGCCACTAGAATGTGATTTTATATCTTGGAGCTTTGTCAAAAGAGTTTATGTACATATCTTCTGTTGATTTCATTTTTTCAATAAAATGCTGAGCAGAGAAAAGTTAAAAAAAGCGTGATGCACGTGCTAATCAAAACCTACTGCTTTTTGCCGTTCCCCTTGCCGTAGCCGTTATTTTTTGCTAAAAAGCGCCTTAGACACGCAGTGCCAACGAATGGTCCGTCCCTAATTGACTAACGGTGCGTTTCTTTACTAAAATCCAAGATCACATCAAAAAACCGGATCATTTGGATTTTTCGTTGAGAAAAGAAACGATGTATGCAAAAAGGGATTATTTTTCATTCATTTCCATAGAAACGACCCACGACGGTATCACGGAGAAAGAGTAACACGGCTGCTGACAAGGTTGCAAGTTTGCTGATGGCTTTCATTGTATTCTGGAGGGTTAGCTTTAGGATAGTTGAAATAAGATATGTGATTGAAAAGTAAAGTCCTGCAAGACGCGCCGGCGATATTGTGTATAGCAGTTTTCTTCCTTGTAAATAGAACAATGGGATTATGCAGGTCCCTGCAGGTCGTTTGTATTGCGATTTTACCCAAGGGCACCCAGTGACAATTTTTGGAAAATATCTGTTCGGAAGACGATTTGAGATCTAGAATTTTCGGAACATTTGTTGTTAAATTTCTTGCTTGCCTGCCTCTCCTCGGATTTTCGAACCCCCCCCCAAAAATGATATAATTGCCCATTTTTAACGGATTTTTACCCTAAAAAGGTCACCTAGAATTTTCGGGAGCCTTTCTTCTGGCTGAAATTTTCGAAAAGGTACGTTTTGATCCCTATAATTTTCGGATCACTAGACTTTCAGCTAGGAAATCCGAACAGATGAAAAATTTTTAGGGGATAAAAATATGCATATATAAACCGTTTAAATACTAAAATACGTTCAACATTGCTATATTTAAGTGGTTTTGAACCATATTCTCGTTGGATGCCCCTGTTTACCACCCCACCAAATCGATAGTTTAATCCATGACTCCGGTTCAAAAATGGCCGTAAAGATAAGCAGTCTTGTCAAAAAGCTGATCTATGGCATGCTGGCAATATTCACTCTTTTCGGATCCGTAGTAAAGAAACGCTTCGGGTCATGTATCCAGAGTGTCCGGTTTTTGATACGATCCAAAGGAATCCACCTCCTTTGTGGATCATTTGGATAAATGATCCGTGTCTGGATTTTAGTAAAGAAATGAAAGATCCGTTTTCGGATTAAAAATGTTAGTAAAGAAACGTACCATTAAGTCCGCTTTCCGTACACGTCACGTGACATTCCGATATCCTCCTCTCTTCCCCCTAAACCCCCCACCTCAACATGGCGCTCGAGTGTTTGTCAGCTTTCCCGTCCTTTTCTTTCTTTATACCATCATTAGCAGTAATCTTTCTCCTGATAGTCATACGGATCGCAGTGTCTACAGATTTCTACAAAAAGTTTTTTGCCAAACTGGAATCCAACTTTTCTCAAGCGACGAAAGGAATATTTGCGCCCCTGAAACACAAGATTTTTGTTGACCTCAGCAATCGATTGAAAGAACTGGAAGGCGATGTTTTGGAAATAGGGATCGGTGCGGGAGAGAACTTCCATCTTTATCCTGAAGGAACGTCTCTCATAGCTGTTGATTCAAACCCACACGTTGAAAAACTTCTCACGGAAAACTTGAAGAAAGCAGGCGAGAGAGTTCACTTGAAGAAGTTTGTGGTAGCCTCAGCAGAGGACATGAGCTGTTCATCAGGGAAACTTGGTGTGGAGGATAATTCCATTGCTGCTGTTGTTTGCACGCTGGTGCTGTGTTCTCTTACTGACGATCAAACCACGAAAACAATTCGAGAAGTAAAAAGAGTCTTGATGCCTGTAAGTAAAATCCATCGCCTCCCTTGGCTTGTCGTTTTCCCGGGGGAGTGGCGGCGGCGGGGGGAGGGGGGGTACTTTAATATATGGGCTAGATAGGTATGCGCCGCCCGATAGGGTATGGTGTTTGAGGGTATTGTTTTTGTCCTTGTTGGCTTTGTGTTCCCAGTGTGATCCTTAGATAGGGTACTCAAATTGTATCAGCAAAAATACAAGTGCATAAATGCCCCACAACACAAGATACAAATCATCTTTTAGTTTAATGAATGTTTGTGTCTTGCCATTTAATTCTTATCCTTTGTTTTTCCTTTGAACAAGGTTTTTTTGGGGGGGGGTTGGCCCTTAAATAGGATGCCAATTGTCGTTTGTTTGTTGCTGAAAATGTATTTTAAAAAAATAAGTTGTGCTTGCCCCTGAGTTGTCTGAGGTTGCTACAGAATCTACATGCAATTTTTCTCCATGGCCTGCATGACTTAAAGAAAATGCTGAGTTCTGGCCAGGTGCTTAAATTTTGACACAGTCAAAATACGTAAAGTTCTTGTATCTTCCGTGATTATTTTTAGTGCCTTGACTTTGAATGTTTGGTATGTTTCAGGGTGGAAGATTTTACTTTCTTGAACATGTTGCAGGTTAGTTCACTCAACTTTGTTACGACCCATAAAGTCAGACCACTAATAACAGGGAGTTGTAGCAAGACAATGGTGACAGCCACGAGAATTTTAATAAAAGTCAGCACACTTTTTGTTACAATCTTCAGGGCCGTATGTAAAATTAAGAATGTTGTAACCTAGGTTTCTAAAATACATTTGATTTTACATTACATCCCTTATGACAGCCATTTACTTCTTTGTTCCTTGATAGGCATGAGGACAGTCAGAATGATTACTTTAAAAGGCCTTTCATAGAACTTTTTTGTGTGTGTTAATTGCAGCTTTGCATAGTTTTTTAAAGGAGTGTTCTTTCCTGAGGACATAACTTAAGAATCATGCATCAGGCATTGTCACTGACTTTCATAATTTCAAAACTCTATGATGAAAAATGTCAACATGCCCTCCACAACCCTCCCCCCCACCCCACCCCCACCTACCACAGCCATCAAGGGTCACTTAGAATTATTTCTTAATTATATACGCTCGGTCAGGGAGAGTGTGGTGGATATTTCGATGTGAAGCTCGCCTCTTATGCAATGATAATGTATTATGACCACGCTCCTGTACTTTCAATATCATTAATGATCAGTGCTCATTCCATGGCCAACCCAAAAATGTAGCTGTTTTACTATGGGTGATCAACCCTTTGCTCTTTCAAGACAAGACAGAAAACCCAAAAGACATTAAGGTCATTAAGCAAAATAGTAATATTTAATTATATTTTCAGAGACATATGTCCTTTTAATAAAAATTAATCATTCATTTGTTATTTCAACAGGGGAACCATGGACATTGCGTTACTTCACTCAGCACCTTTTAACAAGGCTACTTATATTTCCCACATTTTTGAATGGTTGTTGCTGTAACAAGGAGACCCTGACCAGAATTAGAGAAGCCGGCTTCAAGACAGTGCAGGCAGAAAAGCAGTGCATTAAGGGGTCGTCAGAAGCTTTTTTGGGGTCTTGGGATACTGTTTTGCTTGCAAGAAGTTTATTGGCTCTAATAAACCCTGTGATTGCTGGTTTTGCAGAAAAGTGAAAAAAATAATGTCAAACTTGTTCCAAAGTTGGGGATGCTAAAACAAGCGATGCAAACTTTCTTTGACGCAATAATTTTCTTAGCTTGTCTAACTTATGTGGACAAGTAGAGGGTATTCAGCTTATTTGCCTAATGCCGAGTGTAAAGAGGACTTGTCCTTGTCCCTGTCCACTGTACACTAGAATGGGCTTTTTTTTTAGTTTTAGAGGGATATAAGAGGTTAATAATGGTAATTGAACTGAGTGGAGTGCAATTTGGTCTGAAATCATACGAGTGATTTCAAAATCGAACGAGCGCGCAGCGCGAGTTCGATTTGAAATCACAAGTATGATTTCAGACCAAAATTGCACGACACGAAGTTCAATTACCACTTTATTACATCCATTTTGAAATCGCAGAATTTAGTCAGTACTAATATTTTATTGATCGAGTAGCCGGTTTGTTAAAAAGCCGAGACAAAAAGGCTTTTACATCTCATTTTGTATTCGAAACAAAAATGATGCGATTTAAAACAGAAATGATGCGTTTTAGAACATGAATGACGCGATTTGGAACAGATGCGATTTAGAGCAAAAAATGGTGCGATTTAGGAATAAATCACACTGCTAAGAGCCAATCAGATTGCACGGATAGCCAGTGATTTCAAAGTGGATGTAATAAA